CCTGTACCGCAACCTGGAGTTTGGCATCGACTGCGACAGCCGCATCGCCCTGGTCGGCCCCAACGGCGCCGGCAAGTCCACGCTGCTCAAGCTCATCACGGGGGACCTCTCGCCCTGCGTGGGCAACGTGCAGCGCCACCCCCACCTCTCAATCGGCCGCTACCACCAGCACAGGCGAGCCGGCAGCGCCGCGCCCCCGCGCGCCGGCGCGCAGCGCGCATGGGCTCCGGTCGGCAGGGCCTCTGCACCCCTGGCAAATCGACATGCGCATGCACGCGTGCATGCATGCACCCATGCGCATCGCATGTACCAGCGTCGGCCCGACCGCCACCTGACACCGCCGCCGTCCCCTAAACCCTCACTTTATAAAACCCCAGTGTGGACCAGCTCAATCCCGAGATGACGGTGATCGAGTTTTTCCAGCACACCTACCCCAACACCAAGGACTTTGTGGTGTGTAGGCCAGATCGCCTGGGGGGGGCACAGGCAGAGCAGGATGCGCCCAGGAGCAGGCACTCGGTCCCGGTTGGCTGCTTCGGGCACAGACTGCTGTTTGCGCCCGGCTGCCTCCCACCAGCCGCGTCCCGCACCCACAAACTTGCGCCTGCTTCTCGGACTCGCCGGTCTTACGAGCCACCGCTCGCCTCACTCCTCCCTCCCCACACCCCTCAACATGCTACCCACCCAAACCACCCAACCCACGCCCAATACCCGAATCCCCCCCCCACCCCCTCAGCGCGACGTGGACATGTGGCGCGCGTTCCTGGGGCGCTACGGCGTCAGCGGCAAGATGCAGACCACCAAGATCAGCCACCTGTCAGAGGGCCAGAAGAGCCGCATCGTGTTTGGCATGCTGTGCATGAAGAACTACAACCTGCTGCTGCTGGTGAGGGGTTTGGAGGGGAGCTGCGGGTGTGTCATGTTGTGTGTGTGCATGTGCATGTGTGTGTGTGTGTTTGCGTGTGCGTGCGTGTGTGTGTGTGTGTGTGTGTGTGTGTGTGTGTGTGTGTGTGTGTCAGGCACGTGCGTATGTAAAGGCAGGGGCACCCGCTTTTTGATGGGACTAGATGGGGGCACGGTTGCATGGTCGGCACGGCGGGGATGCCTGCCAGATAGGCCCTCGCCCTCCTGTCGGCCCGAATGCTGCGCGTCCATGCACCAAGCAGGCCGCACCCTGCTAGGCACTGCGCCCGTAGCGGGCTCAGAGGAGCCCGCGACGCTCCTCTCCTCGACCCCGCCCTTGAGCCTGCACCCTACGACATACGTACACACACAATCCGCCCAACCGCCTCCCAACCGCCCCCAACCGCCCCCACCCGCTGCCCCCAGGACGAGCCCACCAACCACCTGGACATTGAGGCCATTGACAGCCTGGCTGAGGCCATCAACCACTACAAGGGCGGCGTGGTGCTGGTGTCGCACGACTTCAGGCTCATAGACCAGGTGCGCGGGTCAAGGCAGGGCTGGGACAGTTTTTTTGGGGGGGGGGGGGCGGTCAATGGGACACGCCCGGTGGGGAGAGGTTGTCGACGTGCTCTCGTGTGGGTGGGTCGCCAGGGGATTGCTGTTTCCTGTTGTGTGCACGATTGAGATGGGCGCGCTTGGTGTATGCTGCGTACGAGAGTGCACGCTTTTTGACTTGAGTGTTGCTCAGCCCAGGGCAGCCCAGCTGCAACACTCAATGGGATATCCCCACTCAGCCGCCAGCCAAACCCCCCACCTCCCCTCCCTCAATCCAGCTTGACTCTCTCCCACCTCCCAAAAACCATCACCGGTGCCTGCCGTCCACCCCCTTCACAAACCCCAACCTCCAGCACACGCCTCACCCGCGCCTCCCACCAGCACTCGCACCCGTCCCTCCCTTCCGCCCTCCTGGGCCGTCCACTCACCTCCTGAACCGCCCACCCCCCCTCCATAGGTGGCCAAGGAGATCTGGGTGTGCGAGAACAAGACCGTGCACCCCTGGTCCGGCAACATCCGCGACTACAAGAAGGCCCTCGCCAAGAAGATGGGCGCAGAGTACTACGCAAGCTCCAAGTAGAGGGGGCAGTACTCTGAGGGCAGCGCTCAGCGCTCAGCGCGACGCCCCCGCCGCCGCCTGCGCGCGCCCCCGCCGCCGCCGCGTGCATGGGCCGTGCGTCGGCGTGCGCCGCGGAGGCAGGGGCCGACCCGGGCCCCGTGGGAGGACTGCCGGCGCGGCGGGCGCCTGACGCCGCGTCTGGCGCCCTGCGGCGTGTCGGCGGTCGCTTTCCCTCCCGCGCGCTGCCCCTTATTTGATGATCGGTTGGACGATAGCGCCCCATTAGTAGCGCCTGGCCGCCGCCGCCGCCGCGCCCGTGCGGCCGCTGGCATCCCGCGCCCGCCCATTGGATCGGGCCGGGGCCTGGCCGCGGGCCGCGCGAGGCCGCGCCCGCCGCACGCCGAAATGCGTGCGCGCGCGCGGCGGGCCGAGGAGCGTCCTAGCGTGCCGCCCGCGGTGCCTGCGGCGCGCGCCGAAGAGAGCTCACTTGGCGCGGCACGGCCGCCCCGATGCCGCGCCCCCACCTGTGGCCGGCCGAGGCGCCGCCGAGCGCACCCATTACCAGCTCACGCGCGCTTGGTTTGCTGCCATGCCTGGCTTGCCCCCGCAAATGAAATGAGTTGACCCCTCTGCGGCCGCCGGGCTCTCTTGCCGGCGGCGGCCGCAGTGGCTTCGTCCCTTCTCCCCCCTTTCAGTAGCCGATACCCGAGAGTGCGTGTGGCCACGCCGCGAGGCGCGAGTGGTTGAGCCTTGTGTGCGGTTGTCGCGCCAGCCAGCATTTGGTAACGCGGCACAATGTTGCACCCATGGGCACGGCCTGGACCGTGGGCAGGCAAATTGCGGATCGGCCGCATCGTGGGTCCATCAACCTGCACCACTGAAGGGGACGCAAAGGATGTTGCCAGCCATGTGGGTGCCTGGGCAAACGCCAGCAATCAAGGTTGGGAAGCCCATAAGCGAGCTCAGGTCGGAAGGCGATTGTGTGCCCGCCTGCTGCTGCTGTAGCGCGCAGGTGGGTCACCCAGTCACTCGACTCCGGCAGCTGTTCGGCGTGGGGCGGGTGAGCTTGCTGGACTGCACTCCACGCCCCCATTGCATTATGCATACAGGACTTCTGCCTTTCGACCGTTGTACGTCGGCATGCACTCATAGCTCTTCGATCTGTCGTCCGTGACGCTGACCGGTGCCCTTTGCCTTTGGGACACAAAGGCCACGCACGAACTCGGCCAGAACAATCGAGCGTTTCAGGAGCATCCCGCCAACGGCCCATTAGCTGCAACATTGGCCGCATCAACACACATTGCAGGAGCATCGGCGCAAGAAGCTGGTTGCCACCGCAGTGTCAGTGCTGTTTGGGGGATCGGCAGCAGCCGTGCAACCCGCCGCCCGTAATCACCACACCAGCCACATACAGCTAACCGCAGCAACAGCTTGAACACAACATCAGCAACCCTTACATCGGGCTCGACGTCGCCGCCGCCTGCTGCACAAAAAAGCAGCAACCTCGCCGCGCCCGCGCCGCGCGCCCTGCGCCGCGGCGGCGCCCTCTTGCCGCATGCTCGTCCGCGTCCTCTACTTCGCGCGCGCCCGCGAGGTCGCCGGCGCCGCGGAGGAGTCCCTCGAGCTGCCCGGCGGCTGCGGCACGGCCGCGCTGCTGGCGGCCCTCAGGGCGCGCCACCCCGGGCTGGAGGGTGTCCTGCGGAGCTGCGTGTTTGCGGTCAACCAGGAGTACGTGGCCCTTGACCAGGAGGTCCCCCTAAAGGAGGGGGACGAGGTCGCCATCATACCCCCACTCAGCGGCGGGTGACGCGGGGGCCGGGGGCCGGCGGCATGGCCTGGGAGTAGCGTCCCGAGGAGCGCGGCGCGGCGCACCAGCACCCTCAGGGCGGGTGAGGCAGCTGGCGGACGGCTCTGGGGCTGCGGGCGCGACAGCCAGGCGGTTCGGCCGGCCGCGTCACTTTGCCGACGAGCCCTGCCGCCCACGGCGCGCCGCTCCCTCGCGGAGCGCAACCCTTTGGCTGCGGCAGCTTGTGGCCGGCCACAATGCACCACCATGTGCCCGGCATGAGCTTTGGTTCATGCATTCATGTGCGTTTTTTGTCTTCTTGATGCCCCTGATACTGTCATGCTGTTCTAGGCCCAGCTGGCCGCCGCCCGCCCGCTGCAGCGGGATCCGACAGTTCGCGGTTGCCCCGAGCTCGGCTGTGTTGTGCTGAAGCGGCGCACCACCGGCTTGATCCCCCTTCAGTACACTCCCTTCCGTACAATTGATGTGTGCAGCCCTGCTTTCAGCAGTGTTACACCTTCCGCGGGTGTGCATCGCGAGTTAAGCACACAAGCCGCGTGATCAGCAACAGGCGCAACGCGCACCAGCAAAGCGGGTGGTGCTCATTCTCACGGCACAGCGCCAGCGCCAACCTCGGGCGCACAACTGATACGAGGCGGGCAAGACACCGGGGGCGGTAGGCGGAGGCAGGAGAGACGTTCACAATCAAGCAAGGCGGCCGAAGCCTGGCGAAAAGCAGTCCAGTGTCTCCAAAAGAAGACAGTGGGACAGAGGGCGATGGGATGGTGTCGCAGGCGACGCTGCTGCCAAGCCGGCGTGTCGCCAGCAGCCGGTGCCCGCGTGGCACCGGCACAGGCCGGGCGCGTGTTTCAGGGGGTGCCGAGAATAGGCAATGGGGCGGGTGTCGCACCGCCGGTCGACCGTCCCCCGGCACGACGAAGGGCGCGCGCCCGGCGCGTGGCGAATGGCCGGCGGTGCAGCGGGAGTGCGGCCAGGCAAGTGCTTTAGGCAGACCACTCAGATACAAATACAAATACCACGCACGTGCAATCGAAAGGAGGCGCGTCGCGGCGGCGCGCTGCAAGCGTGGCATCGCGGCCGCGTGGCGTGCTCTGTGATGCGTGCTCTCAGTTCCTGGTTGCCGTTTCAGCCAGACAGCAGACGCAAGCGGGGGGTCGCTCTAAGCTTTGCCGCAGCGGCGCGAAGATGCCAGGCCAACTTGGCATCAAGGGAGAACACTAGTGCTGGGAAGATCCAACAATCAGGGGGAAATCGCTGCCGGCGAGCGGCGCCGCTAAGGGGGGGATGCGCCCGTTGCAGGGCCAGGCGTCGTCGCTCGTCGCCGGCGCAGCCACGTGCTTGTTTGGTGATGCCGCTGCGGCGGGGGCTTGCAAAAGAGGACTGCGGGAGGCGGCGTACAAGGTTGCGATGTCGCATCTCGGTGCTTGTGGTGTGCCTCCTGGGAGGGCTGCGACAGGCTCCTTGTTCATCAAGGGCCGGGGAGGGGTGACATAAGCCGCACATCAAAGCCTGCACGCTCTAGGCGGCGCTGCGTCTCAACGACACGGGCCGGCGCACGTGGCGGGGCGTGCGGTGCGTGGGTGCCAGGTGGGGGGGGCTCCCAGGCGTGAGGTCTTCTGAGGGGGCTCGTGCGCCAAGCAGCGCAAAGGGGTGGGCCGGCGGCGGGGCGGGCCGTAATCGCGCGGAAGGCGCGTGAAACGCGGCGGAGAGACACACGAGAGCCGG